ATATTAACGCTTATGTTAATGGTAAGATTAGTGTAATTCAAATATGATCGGGAATAGATTCAATCTTGAAGACCAATCAAAATTGGATATCGTATGGCTTGACTCTGATTGAGGGTCTCTAGCCCAACCCTAATCGGAACGCACCCTATGGCATAAAGTTAGGTACAGTATTACCAATCTTGTAACTAAAAGCATATTTTCGACACATCTAATGGAAATAATGGAATGCATCCGTAATCTGATACAAACTTTAGTGAAAATTGAATTTGCTCATTTTAATTGCATATTTTATACTTTGTTTCTTGTGGATACATATTTATCTTAATTAAAGATAGAAAATGCAAGAAAGTATAATTAAAATGAACAAATCTATTATCAAACGGTAAAATATTTTATTATTAATAACAAAATTATTACTATTATTTCGTATAGTAGTATATGAAATAGTAATTTAGAAAATAGAAATAAAAATAAATATAGAGAAGATACTCGTAAGTAAAAAAGTAAAACTATTCATAAGTTACGAATGTAACATAATGATTGACTTTTCTCATTAACATAGAGTTAACAACATATTTATTATAATAATTAGCGATTAAATATAAGGTGAATATGTATATCTAATGATATAGAATATTAAAACATAAATCTTGATTGCTTGGTTTTGATTCTCTATCTAGGTTATGTTTGGTGGTTATGTTACTTGTCACTTAATCTCTTAATGGTTGTTTACACGATGTATTTAATGAAATGCAAACATTAATAGGTAAGTTAACAAATTTCTCTACATGTAATTAATTAATTCAAAATTCAAATTGATTAAATGAAACTATGACTATGGATGTTTTCTTTTCTATTCTGTACTAATTATTGTGTATTATTCTATTTGAAACTTGTAACAGATAATATAACAAAAGTGTAGGTTATATATAGAAATATATATATAGAGAGAAAGAGTTTTTTTTTTCCTCTCTCTCTCTCTCTCTCCTCTCTTCTTTTACTCAAATATATAACTAAGTATACTCATTCAAATTATATATAAAAATTATAATCTTGAATTATTATGCATTCGCTAGCATTAATAAGATTAAATTTGTACAAAAAATATTGAATAATTGTGAAGCCTAAAATGTTACTTTGAACATAAAAGATATTATTTTGTCTTATATTATTATTTCTTCAATGTGCGATATATTATTTAATAGATTAGATTTATGTACAAAAATATGTTATTGTATCAAAATTAAAACTAAGTAGGTATAAGTAAGGCAGAAATAAATCGTCAAAATTAAAAGTTTATAATTTTAAAGTTACATTCTGTCTAAAATATAGTAAATATGTAAAATGTAATTTTTCTATTTTTACTATTGCATATTACTTATGTAAATATCTTATAATTATATATTATATTTATCTATATAACATGTTATCTTTCTTGCAGATATGTCAGAGCATGTGGAGTTGCAACATTTAGTGGATGTAGATGTGGAGAATAACACAACAAATCATAAAAAAAAATTTTCTATTAAATTGTGTAAATCCTGTCCTTATATGGGTTTAGTATTAGCGACACTCTCATCTCTGTTCTTCTCATTATGTAGTGTTATTGTTAAGAGCTTGGTAGAGATAAATCCAACAGAAATGGCAATCTTTAGATTTTTAGGGGTATTGTTACCAGCTATACCAATTGTGATTTATAAAGGTGAACATCCTTTTCCAAAAGGATGTAGATTAACACTTATTTTAAGAAGTTTCGTCGGTACAACAGGACTTATGTTAAGTTTCTATGCGTTTAGGCATATGCCATTGGCTGATGCCTCAGTTATTGTATTTTCTGTTCCTGTATTTGTAGCAATATTTGCACGGATATTTTTGAAAGAACCTTGTGGGCTATTCAACGTTGCTACTATATGTTTGACATTGATTGGTGTGATATTGATAACACGGCCACCGTTAATTTTTGGTCATACCATAGGATCTCTCTCAGATGGCAATATTAAGCCAGAACATGCAGACTTATGGGGTGCTATCGCTGCGTTCTCAGCTACTTTATTTGGTGCAAACGCGTATGTTTTGTTACGCGCATTAAAAGATCTTCATTTTTCTGTTATAATGACAAACTTTGGTTCATTTGCTCTGATTCAAACGACGCTTATATCATGGGCAATTGGCGCATTATGTATGCCACATTGTGGTACAGATAGACTTTTAGTTGTTGCACTTGCACTGTTTAGTTTTGCAGGTCAAATTTTATTAACTTTAGCTCTTCAAATTGAACAAGTTGGTCCAGTGGCCATAGCAAGATCCACAGACATTGTCTTTGCGTTTTTTTGGCAAGTATTATTTTTTAATGAAATACCAAATCGATATTCTGTAGGCGGAGCTATATTAGTCACTAGCTCAGTTTTGCTAACAGGATTAAGAAAATGGGCTCTCTCATTACCAGAGACATCAAATATCAAAAAATCTCTTGGAATCTTAATGATATAAACAATGTTTTTTTATTTAGAGAAAAAAGGAACTAATTAATATAGATTGTAAAAAAGAAGCTCAAGAAGCAATCATATATATAAAAAATATTGTTATAAGTGATAATAATTTATACGCTTGTTTTATAATTTGTGAATTTACATGTACAATGTTTTCTAAATCTATTAATTTATTTATTATTAGCATACTTCAATGATTATTTGAAAATTCTAATACCATATCGAGATTATAATTGTTTTACATCAGAAGCGTTTAAATTTTTAAGCGTTGATCTCATACGTTCAAATATCACAGCAGTAATTAAAGTGATCTTAAATATCAATTTGTTTTTAAATTTTAACTTAGTTTTGCATACATAATACTATTATACATTGAAAATACTTTCAACATAATCTCAACCCGTTTATTTATGATTAATCTGTTGTGCCTACTAATAATATTAAGAAAAAGAATGTATTTGAAAATAAATAAGGACATACTGAAAATAATTAAAATATCGATCGTTTCTTTAAATTGATTGTTTTCATCATATTTTATAATATAATATTTTTATAGTATAATACAATAAATCATATTATATACAATGATTTGTGGATATATCTAATAAAGATATAACAAATGTATAAGTAACAGTTTGGTTGGTGTAATAGAAATAGATTATCAAGAAATAATTTAAAAAATTTAAACTTA